GATGTTTTCTACATTTTCAAATATATTCAGTTACAACACAATAAAAGTGTACAGTGCTCACTTTATATTTATTTTTGATTACAAATATTTGCACTGTAAAAAGCAAAATAAATAGTATATTTCAGTTCACCTAATACAAGTACTGTAGTGCAATGGCTTTATAATGAAAGTTGAACTTACAAATGTAGAATTATGTACAAAAAATAACTGCATTCAAAAATTAAACAATGTAAAACTTTAGAACCTACAAGTCCACTCAGTCCTACTTCAGCCAATTGCACAGACAAACACATTTGGTTACAATTTGCAGGAAATAATGCTGCCCACGTCTTGTTTACAGTGTCACCTGAAAGTGAGAACAGGTGTTCGCATGGCACTTTTGTAGCCGACGTTGCAAGGTATTTACGTGCCAGATATGCTAAACATTCATATGTCTCTTCATGCTTCAGCCACCATTCTGGAGGACATGCTTCCATGCTGATGATGCTTGTTTAAAAAAAAAAGTTAATTAAATTTGTGACTGAACTCCTTGGGGGAGAATTGCATGTCTTCTGCTCTCTGTTTTACCCACATTCTACCATATATTTCATGTTATAGCAGTCTCAGATGACCCAACCCATGTTTGTTTTAAGAACACTTTCACAGCAGATTTGACAAAATGCAAAGAAAGTACCAGTGTGAGATTTCTAAGGATAGATACAGCACTCGACCCTAGGTTTAAGAATCTAAAGTGCCTTCCAAAATCTGAGAGGGACAAGGTGTGGAGAATGCTTTCAGATGTCCTAAAAGAGCAACACTCCAATGTGGAAACTACAGAACCCAAACCAAAAAAGAAAATCAACCTTCTGCTGGTGGCATCTGATTCATGATGATGATGAAAATGAACATGCATTGGTCCGCTTTGCTTTGGATTGTTATTGAGCAGAACCCATCATCAGCATGAACGCATGTCTTCTGGAATGGTGGTTGAAGCATGAAGGGACATATGAAACTTTAGTGCATCAGGCATGTAAGTATCTTGCGATGCCGGCTACAACAGTGCCATGCGAACGCCTGTTCTCACTTTCAATTGACGCTGTAAACAAGATGTGGGCAGCATTATCTCCAGCAAATTGTAACCAAACTTGTTTGTCTGCACGACTGGCTGAAGTAGGACTGAATGGAGGTTCTAAAGTTTTACATTGTTCTGTTTTTGAATGCAGAAATTTAAGGCACCCCCCGCCCCCCCCCCCCCCCCCCCCCGAGCGGAGTCGGTGCTTGGGGCAGGGGCAGCACGCGGAGCTCCTTGCTGAATGCAAATACCACCAGAACCAATCTTTTGGTTCTCCCTTAGCTCCTGTGATCAGCAAGGCGCACCCTACCTTGCTCCTTTGGATTAACTACAGCAATGGGAGAATCCCTCCCATTGCTATAGTCAGTTGTGTACACTGAAGCGCTACAGCGGTGCAGCTGCAGCACTGTAGCTGTACTGATGTAGTGGTTTAAGTGTAGACATAGCCCTGGTCTTTTAAATTCTCCCCCTAGTCTTCAACTGCTTAGTAAATCTCTGTATTGAAACCAGGGCCTGGACAAAGTTGCCCTTGTTTAACACTTCCTTAGCTTCATGTCTAAACAAGAGTAGAAATCTATGCTACCTATTTTTTTAGTTAGTGATCCTGTATTTTCTGCACTCTCCTCCTCCACCGTCCCCTCTCAGTATCCGATTTACTGGATAAGGAGTAATCTTGCTGCACTGTGTCAATGCCATAGCTATGGGAAAGTTGGCCAGTTTTCCCCCCTAGTTGTAAGATGGCAATACCATCTGTTCTGAGCACATGGAAAAAAGTAGGAAATTTGATGTTGCACGGTGAGTTTAGTGTTGTTTTGATAGAACACGCTGTTAACTTAAGTTTTAATTCAGATTTATAATGGCTGTTTGTAAATTGAGTGATATCAACTGACTTCTAAAAGAAGATGAAATTTAGAGAATCTGGCAAAGATTTGCTAGAAGTGATGTGATTTTGGGTGTTCCCCATAAGACCCCTTAGAGCAGTGGTTCCCAAACTGGGGTTCGTGAACCCCTGGGGGTTCGCAAAATGTTACAGGGGGTTCTCGGGAAAAAATTCCCTAATGGCGGACAGAGCTGTCCCTAGGGACCCCAGACAGCAGGGGGCCAGCAGCCTGGAGCCTTGGACTTCCAAGAGCTAAGCAGATCAAAACAAGCATATCTATCACACTGAGGAGATTTAAACTTCAAGACTCCTTATAAGAAATGGAAAAGGAGGTGGATATTTTTTGCTGTTTTTAAAATTAAATAGGCAGCTAGTATTGTTTTTAAAATTATTATGAAGAACAAGTTTAAGCTTTGTTGTAACGTGCGTTGTTTGCCTGGACTGCTCAAGACCTGAATGCTTGTGTAGGAGGAACTCTTTGAGTTGGCTTCTTAAATACCTTCATGCTGTTTCACATCTGATACTGCTTGATGAAACATAGGAGTCTTGTCCTAGAACAGGCTTATTCAAAGTGATACAAGCTGCAAAAGTGAGAACTTGGAAGAGTGTTGCTGTTTTCATAATGCAATAAAAATACTGTAATTATCAATAATAATTCATAATAAATAGTGTG